GTGCCACGCTCCACCTGTCCCTCCTGCTGCTCATGCGGCTGTTGCTGCTTGGCGGGGCTGGAAGAGGCTCGCTTTCTACAACCTGCCAGAAATAGGAAATCAACATGCCACACCAGTTGATCCCACCATGCGGCGCGGTGTAGAAGAGGTGTTCGCAACAAGTCCACAGCAGTTGCGCAATTTTGATGCATCTTATCAGCCAGCTGTGGCTGTGCCCAGAGCCGTAGTTCCCACTATACGGATCCCACTCTACGGATCTCACAATCCTCAGCGCAGTTGGAACTTGCAGGTCTGATCTTGAGTCCATGCTGCTACACGCCCCCTGAATGGACTCCGTGGACAGTCCGTTCCTGGAGATGCCGAAGATCATGCTCGGCATGAGCCCCAGCTGTCTTGCCAAGCGTCACACTGTCTCTCCAAACTCAACCCGTTCCCGCCCGGCCACCGGACTGGATTACCCATCCTGTCCTTGGGCCGACCGCGTCGGGCTCCAGGACTGTCCAGGACGAATCCCACTCCACCGCCGTGCCTTCCGGACGCGGCCTGCTACCAACGCCATGGAGTTACCCATAGCCTTGACGTCCTGTGCCTAGAATGATGTGTCCCTGGCGCACGTCCTTTTCGAAAAGGGGGATAGTGTAGGCAATTGCGGCTACCCCTCGGCCGCGCTGATACTCTCCGTACCCACTGTCGCGGTCCCCGCCACTTTCCCTGTTGTACCCTTGACGACCACCCCCTTGTTGATCGCTCACTCCTGTGCTAACCCTTGCCTGGAATACACGTGCTGCTCCCCCTGTGACTCCTTGACTCATTCCCAGTAGAGATCCCTTCCTCGCTCTCGGCCCGACTACCCCGGATCCTTACAATAATAAAAGTACCTCCCTGACAACTGGCACATGTTTTCTGAAACTAAGAGCGAATTGGGCACTGTATCTGATCCAAAGAACATGCAGGCATACAAATTTCCTTGGAAACTGTACAAATACATCACAAACTCACTTATTTGATGAAAGTAAATGTGAAGGCGGGAATTTCATTGATATTATACACTGCCGCTTAAAATTAGCGGCGGCTTTTTTTGAGCCGGCGTATTTTCTAATTCTTTTGAACGGAACGTCGAGATTTGGCTTGTAGACGTGTCCATGGTTCGTCTTGGACCCCATGCATCCCCTGCGCCACCCCATACGGCCTGTGCAGCCCCTAGAAAGAACAGGGGTAGAAAAGTCGACCTAAAAGGTTCCGAATTTGTCACTTTAAATGATCGGAAAGTCGAAATTTTAAGTGTACCGACTCAAATTTGTGTCGTCTTTCGAACGGCGTAAGCGAAGACGCGATCGTTCAAACCCACCCCCTGCCTCGTTCACCCCCACCCCCTTCGAGGGGGTGAATTTAGAGGTTGGCCAAATGTAACGGGATATCCTCCGGCCCCGGTACACGGCAGAAGTGTTTTTTTTTTTTCGAATCGGACAACCCTCGGCCAAACCACCCCCCCAAACGTCCACCCCCTTTTTGAACATCGGCAATTTTGGAGGGTGAGGGTTAGGCTGTTTCAAAAAAAAAAGAATACCTATACCAGAGCGAGGTTTTTCTGAAAGTTTATTTCATGCTGATACTCATGAAAAAAAACCCGGGGCCTGTGCGATGAAGGAAACCCGGCGCAACCCGCGCTCAAAGTTTTTTGGGTGTTTTGGCGGGTATCACGACCGACATGTTCTCGGGCCCGCTGTGTGGGGGCGCCGCCGCCGCCGACCGCGCCCGTTCCTGTGGTGACTACCTATGGCATGTACTTCCTATCGGACATGGTCCGACCCGCCCTCCCCAGCCCCCTCAGGAGCCAGGGCGTAAGTACTTAAAAACCAGGTACCTCGCTCTAGACCGACCGAGACCGAGACCCACAAGCACATCGATGAGTGAGCAGGAGGGCTGCATTTAAGCAAGCGCACTATACCGCCTACCGTCCCTGTTTCCCGCGCGCCGTTTGAATGCGTCTCCCGGCACCCGGCCACTTCCACTCGCATTTTTGCTATGACGCAGAAAAACGCTATGCTCTCGCTATTCGGGGCTCGATAGCTCTTCGGTCCGGCAACCTTTCCGCGCAGGCGGCGTTCCCATACCATCAACGGTACTCGGTCTAGAGCGAGGTACCTGGTTTTTGAGTACTTACGCCCTGGCTCCTGAGGGGGGTGAGGAGGGCGGGTCGGACCATGTCCGATAGGAAAAACATACCATAGGTAGTCACCACAGGAACGGGCGCTGTCGGCGGCAGCGGCGCCCCCGCACAGCGGGCCCGGTAACATGTCGGTCCTGATACCTGCCAAAACACCCAAAAAACTCTCAGCGCGGGTTGCGCCGGGTTCCTTTCATCGCACAGACCCCGGGTTTTTTCCATGAGTATCAGCATGACAGAAACTTTCAAAAAAACCTCGCTTCAGAAAATTTGGAGTCCTGACCCCTCAAAATGAAACAACCTAGTAAGGGTTAAAGTTCGGAGTGAAATTTTCAGGGTAGGTGTCCTTTGTCCTCTTAAAAACGCTCAGGATAAAAAAATCCGATGTCGATACCTGAATCACCTGCCGAAGGGGTAGCTGCCCCCGAGTGCCCCCGCACCCCCTGTGGGGAAATGGAGGGAAGCCTCTAACCGGATGTGTTCAAGAACAACGCAAGGAATCTCCACACGAAATTTCGTGTCGATCCGACAAACCGTTTACCTTCCAGAGCCCCAAAAGTGTCAAAACCGTCAGAAACCACCCCTACGTTTACACCCCCATTACGCCAAATTGAGGAGGGGTAGCGACCTAACTCAAAGTGTCCCACCTCGGCCCAACCATGTTCTGAAAGACTCTAAGCGTGCAAGACGCTGCGGCGAAGCACGAGGCCGTGAGCGGGATGCAAAGAACGTGCTGCACTTGGGCTCCGGCCAAACCGCCCGCCCGGCGCGGCACCGAAACATGTCCGACGAGTGTCTGTCACGCCCGTGCGCAAGACAACAAGTGACTCAGGTTTAAAAAAAAAAAGTTTTACGTTTTGATTATGCCACATTTTCCGATCCTGGCCTTGTGTTTTTTGGCTGAGGAGTCAATGTTTACCTCGGTCGAGCCACTATCCAGTCAAATCAGAAGCAGTGCCGCCTGGTGAAGTCCGCTCAGGAGATTTTTGAGGTAAGTTTGGTCTGCCCAAACGTTTCCAATTTTTGTAAGTATAAATTTCAATACTGATGGATAGTGTTCGGACGGTTTCTTGAGTGCAATTGTTGATTTTTGAATACTGTCGCGATGAAAGGCGCTCTTTGAGAGAACAGTTTGCCTTGACAGCTGAGACCGAGGGGGTAATCTCTACAGAAAGTAGTTGTACACCTAACTGAGCTGCAGGTGGGCGAGGCCTTGACCATGGTCAGGGAGGGGCGGTCCATGCGCAGCGTGGCTCGCCATTTCGGTGTGTCAGACTCTGTTATTCGGAGGGCGAAGCGACGCTTTGATGAGGACGGCGTTTTAACTCGCCGACCTGTGCAGGGGCACCCGAGGTCCACCACCGCGAGGGAGGACCGGCGGATGGTAAAGACAGTTCTGCGGTGGGGCTCTCACTTTTACCCGCATACCCGGGTAACCCGAGTACCCACCCGCCCGGGTAGGAACCGGGTAAACGGGTCTACCCGGGTAACACAGGTTTACCCGAGCACCCGGGTAGAACCGGCGGAACCGCGCCTGTAGGTAGGCAATTTGACATACCGGGTCTACCCGGGTACCCGGGTTACCAGGGTTACCCGCTGTTACCCGGTAGGACCCGTTTACCCGGTTCCTACCCGGGAAACCCGACTACCCGCCAGTCTGGGTTTTGAGAGCCCTATTCTGCGGCTCCCCACCACGACGGCGAGGGAAGTCGCCGGGCAACATGCCGCAGCAACCCACTTCATCTCAACGCCGACGCGTCGCCTCGCTTCTGCCAATCTGCGCGCAAGGAGGCCGAAGAAGGCCCCCATCCTGCAACCCCACCACAGAGCTGCCCGCCGGCAGTACGTCGCGACGTACGGCAGCTGGGAGAATGGGCGTCACCCGCTTTCGTTACAAAAATATTCTTGGTAATTCCCTATTCAAGTTTATTAAGAGAACTTTATGACATTCGTACGAGAAGTATTTCTTTTTAAGAGAATCCAATTTGGCATATCTGCAGACTCATGCAAATAGCCCAGGCAGAAAGGCCGTAACTGAATCGCGTGGTCACGTAGGACCGAGCCGACCGAGCCGACCGAGCCTAGCCCTGCCAAGTCGTTTTGGGTGGAGGTGTGCGAACAGTTCGAATTCGAATCGAAACTGTCTCGATTTGATTCGATCTCGGAACAAGGCACTTCGAACTCGAACAATTCGGACCCATCAAAATTTTGAAGTTCGAAATCGAAAGGACATGTGCACATGGAGCGCACGCTGGGTAACTTATACTAACTTATACTAAAGAGAAAGTTTTTCATTGGATAAGAGGATGGTTTGTTTTTAGAGAGAATCTGATGAGCCCCAACACTTATTGGCTGATGCTGTGCAATTGCGAAGAAATATGAAAACCCGCTGAAAAATATCGCTTTGCAATTGGAAAGCATTACTTTGTATTCGCAAAGTAAATGCTTCGAAATTACAGAGGATCTAATAACTGCGCAGTTCTTCAAAGCGTCCCTTTGCAGGAATTTGACAGTGTGGGCAGGTGGGGTGGCGCCTAGATTTTGCACAGATCCGTTACAAGGTCAGTGCGGTTTATGGAGGGCTCAACGTATGAAATCGCAGACGTCAGACGCTTTGATACGCTCTAGCATCAGCATCGCTATATCGCCTAGAACAGTATATTTTATAGCTTGCCCCGCTCTTGCTCCCCGGTCCTTACCGAGAGTTAAAGCCGATGGCACATTCCTGTACTAACGTATAGTTATGTTTGGTCTGAGTGCAAAATATCATCTGCTAGAAATCCCCAAAGCTGATATTTTCCATGATTTTGTAGCAAATTTTCTTCGGTGATCAATAAGTAGTGTTCGATGAAATGGGGCAAGACAATAACATCAAATAATGTGTAGGCGAGCTCCAGATTATTCATCGATAGTTGGAATTGTATTCCTTTGTGAATACACAGTTAACAGTTCGTAGTAGTACCATCTTATAGTTGTGACAGTATTCGACAAGATCCATTAAACGTCACGTCTTTTAGTACTTTGTACCCAGCACGCTGATGACCGAGTAGAGGCGGCGGAAGGCGTCGCCCGCAGCCGCCAGGTTGAGTCGGCCCAGACCTCTGCAGCGAAGCGCCGGTGGCCTGCCAGCGGCCAGCATGACCAGGGCGAGGGCGTGCGCTTCGGGGAGTTGCACGCCACTGGTGGCAGCGCGATACGCGCAGCTGAAGTTGGAAAAGCAGGAAGGGTGCACATATCACTTTCACGAATAAGGGTGCACACCTGTGAAATGTAAGGGTTTGGGGGAATCGTCACGAGATAAAAACTACACGCCCAATCGATTCAGGACTAATGGTGCATGGAGATTAGTGTGTGTGGTGTGGGCACGTTTTTCGATTTTGAAAAAGTTACCCCTCCAAATTTTTCCCTTTTTTGATGTCGGTACCTCCTATCAATATGCGCTTATAATTCATTGGGCTAAACGTAACCGCTCACCACCTCGGTTTCTAAACAGAACCGCTTACCTGCGCGGGTCCTACACAGAACCGCTTATCTGCTCGCGGCCGGGGCGCTGGTTAGGTTAGGTTGCCCCTCGTATTTACTATAATATCACTCAATATCGGAGGCTTTTACGGGTTATAGCAGTATTAATACAGTGTTCCAGTACAGATGAGAGAGTATGTAACATTTTTCGTTTCTTAATTGATGCTCAGCGCCTTTAAACATCCATGGAAATCTGGGAATCACCCGCCCGTATTTCAGAAAGATAAGCGGTTCTGTGTCGGACCCGTGCTGATGAGATGAGCGTTTCTGTTTAGAGCCTTTAGTAATGAGCGGGTCTGTGTGGACTAAAAACAAATAAGCGCATATTGATAGGAGGTACCGATGTAGTAGTTTCCGAGAATGACTTCGTTTTTCCCGTGCGACACGGTCTTCAGGTTGCAACCTTCCCTCAAAGTTGGAAAAACGACGACTTTTGCACCAAAAACGGCCGGTATGGACGAAAATCGGTTCAGAGCACCATAGAATTGTCCGCGTGGTACCATAAGTTTCGGGAAGGAACAAGGAAACTTTTTGGGGCCCCACCGGCCCTGCTCGACCCAGCACAGGGCGTATCCACTTCGTTAAAGACGAAAACTAACCCAAAATGCACCATCTATGCTCCAATAAACAAGAACCATGCCCAGGAGGGGAGACATAGGCGACTCAGCAGAAGTTTTTTTGAGTGTCAGTATCACCAAAAGTAAAGGACAGGAGTCTGCACATTTTAAGATCAGTGGAGGCGGCTTCAGCGGGGAGAATCGTTTGTGCAGGTCTGAGTTAAGAAGGGGGCATCCTAGTGTAGCGAGCCTAAAATAGGGGTGATTTGCGTAATTAATTTTAGAGAACCCATAGCTTTGAGAACAAAACCGAGTATACCGTTTTGTAGCGCATACTTTTGACTTTAAAACGCAATGTGTATGACGTCGATACGCCTACCCAAAGTTGAGATATCCCCAGTTGAAAACGGCACTGCAGCGTTGTCGTCTTTTCATGGTGTACCGGATTCCGGCCACACCGTTGGGCCGTTGAGGTTCCGATTTTTTGTGGATGTTCCTAAAACTTGTAGGTATGGCATGAACTAGGATATCTGGAATCGGTCACCTCCTTCATCCCGAAAAAAAATCAAAACTATGGGAGTTTTAGCCTATTTTTCGACATGTCAACTTTAAGCTGCTCGAAAAAATAGTAAAAATTATCCGATTGCAAATATCCCAGTTCATGCCATAACTACGTTCATACAGAGTCTAAAAATTCTTTGTTGGACTGTGTGAGACCAACGGCTCGACTTTAAATAGGTACACCATGACAAGACGACAAAGCTGCAGTGCCGTTTTCAACAGGAAATACTGTATCTCAACTTTGGGTAGGCGTATCGACGTCACACACATTGCGTTTTAAAGTCAAAAGTATGCGCTACAAAACGGTATACTCGGTTTTGTTTTTAAAACTATGTGTTCTCTAAAATTAATTAAGCAAATCACCCTTAGTTTAGGCCCGCTACACTAGGATGCCCCCTTAAGCAAAGCTTGACGCTTGCTCACCCAGGCTAGCCTGTGCCATATAGCAAAAGTATTAAAATTTTGACGGGCCACCCCACAAATAGTTGTCTTTTGACCTTCAGAATGCTGTAATTTTATTTGTTTTGGGGGGGGGAGGGGGGGGGGCGCAGGTAAAGAAAGAGTCCGATAAAAATTATAAAATCAACGAATAACTTGAGAACATACTGTTTAATACCAATTGCTGACGTAGTCTGAAATCTGCATTTTCGCAGAATCGGTGCGTTAGTAAAAAAATACAAAAGAAATTAGGTATGTTTTAATTGTAGATGTACGATGAGGATACTAGATTCTAGGTTCTAGAATCTCGTATGCCAAAATTGTATCAGATACGTTATTAAAATAAAACGTACCGAATTTCTTTTGCATTTTTTTTACAAATGCATACCGATTTTGCGAAAATGCAGATTTCAGACCACGTCAGCAATCGGCATTATAGCATGGTTTCAAGTTATTCGTTGATTGTATAATTATTATCGGACTCTTTCTGGTACTTTTGATTACTGCTTGACTCTTTCGGTGTCACTGAGAGTACATGGGAGTGGTTTTTGACATGACAACTCGATTTCAGTTAGAACCTTCTGACCATGAAATTTAAGGTTTTGGACATACTTGAGTCACTTCTGATGGAACCCCGACTTTTGCAGTTGTGACCACTACGTGTCCATATACCTTTTGACGAGCCGACGGTTTCATGAAGCACTTGTTGCGCTGAGACTAAGATTTTCCGAGATATGGCCCAAAACAGTCATTTTTGGTCAAAAACTGCCGTTATTCACCACAAATATCGACCGGGCTTCACTTTACTCTTGTCTCACAGCCCAGGCGTTTCGCAGTTATCTTTCCAGATATATTCCGCACCGAAACCGAGATAGCCGTTTCCTGGGAAACGCCTTGTTCGGTCCCCAGGGTTAAGTGTCAATTTTGCCTCATAGACCCAACTTTGACCGCTCCTATGGGGTGGAAGTGGTGCCGATGGGCGAAAATGGCCACGGCAACTGTTCTTAGGATATCTAAGTACTTGAAACGGGGTCTACTTTTTCGACCCCAGATTTTCAATCCACCTTAGTGTATAGACTAGTTTTGTTGTCCTTATGACTCCACATGATCTGATCAGTAGACAGTTTTATTCGCCACCTTTAAACATGCTACAATAAGCCACATGCAAATTCAAAGCATACACACGCAAGCTTATGTTCTTACCACTGTTGTTTTCTGCTTAGAGCGCTTTGAATCTATCACGGAATTAGAGTCCCCACATTTTCGTAACCTCACCCTCCTCAAAAACACATGCCGAGCATGTTTTCTACAATTATTCCCTATTGCTCTTAGCAGGACTTCTCCCATCATAGTCCTCTCCACACTGTAAAAAAATATTTGTGGGGAAAATCCCACCCACAAATGTATATAAAGTTATTTACATATACATGTATGGGATTTTTCCTACACCACTGTGTGGGAAAGATCCCATATCCGTGCAGCAGATTTCCTTGACAGGTGTGGGATTACGCGTTCGTGTTATTATGCCAGCGAAACTATTTTGAATAATATTAATATTCTCCAAATCGAGATTGAATGTTAAAGTAAAGCGATTTTCGTTTTCTTCTTCCCCGCATTCTTCTGCATTTCAGCTTTACCGGAATCCTTTATTTTGGAGAAAAAAGTGCCCGACAAATGCTGCGAACATATATTTGGGGGCCGGGAGGCCCTATTTCCGTATACAATCCTGGTAACTCGTCTCGGATGTGAGCGCTGCAGGCCTAGCTATCTGTGCGTAAGTATCAGTGTTTCGTGAGATATCGCGAAGCCTGTTACGCGTGACGTGGTCTGGCGTACATCTACCTAGTTATTAACTGCCTCGCTTAAGTGCCTACCATCTATGTATGGTGTACGTTAATATCTCTCTGTAACTTCTGATTTATGAACTTGCGGAAAAGGTCTAGTACGTTTGTCCTATAAAGCTTGCCGGTGAAGCTTAAATGCAGAAGAATGCGGGGAAGAAGAAAACGGAAATCACTGTACTTTAACATGGTGACTTTCGTTTACTTGTTCCCCGTATTCTTCTGCATTTCAGCTTTACCGGAATGCTTTACTGAAGAAGTTTCTTTATTAATTTTATAAAATACACAATATTTTTAAAATACAAAAATCATTGCTTTATTGGCCAACATCATCACACAGCCAACTCACAAAACTATTATAATAGGGTGTTCCAGGCTATCTAAGACGGAAGTGAAAAAGAACAAACTCACTAATTTTTCTGTTTCCGTCCGCCCAGTATGAGAAGCTACCATGGCAGTTTGGTGTGATCCTAACCTCTCAAATATGGAGGGGAGCTTGAAACTGATCCGACAGTTTCTCAAGCCTGAAATGCCTCGGAGGCACGTGATAAGCTCGACCAATCAGAGCCATTACGGAAACAGAAAGGTCAGTGAGTTTGTTCTTTTCCTACTTCCGTTTTAGATTGCCTGGAACACCCTATTGCCCTTTCCTCTGGATGTGCAGGGAACTCCACGACTCTAAAAGGGTTTTCCAGGCCATCTAAAACGAAAGTATTAAAAGAACAAACTCAATGATTTTTCGGTTTTCGTAACGGCTCCGATTGGTCGATCTAATCACGTGCCTCCGCGGCCTGTCAGGTATGACAATCTGTCAGATCAGTTTCAAGCTCCCCTCCATATTTGAGAGGTTAGGATCGGAACAAACTTCCATGATTATTTCTCATACTGGGCGGACGGAAACAGATAAGTCAGTGAGTTTGTTCTTTTTCACTTTCATTGTAGGAAGCCTGGAACCCGCTATTCTCAAAGCAATGCCAACCGTCTGCACGTCTTCATTTACGTGCATCAGCAGCTCCTCGTCTGCCTCATCTTCGGCCTCTTGTAGCAAAGCCTCTGCTTCATTCGGCACCCAGGGAATTCCATCATCCCCCCCTCCCGAACAAAAACTTCATCATCGAGAAGTCCACCCTCAATATTTTCAAAGGAGGAACTTGTTAGACGCATATTTGATACTTTAAAAAATCGACTGTTACCGGGCACATTACTGACCATTCTACACATACTGTGAAGCACACAGCATGCCTTCACATTTTTTCGCAGCTTTAGCTGGGTAGTAATGAAGAA